GCGGCCGTCCCCGGTTGGGGATTAATTTTATGACGGGAACGGACACGAAGTTACGCCGCGGCCGCGGCGTAACTGATGTTTCGCATAAGCTCGGCCGGCCAGGAGTAATCTACATGTTGCGCGCGCGAACCGACGCCGCGTCGCGCCGGCTGGATTCACCGACGGTGTCCTCACCTGATACGCGGCCCCGCGTCTCCGACGAGCGTCGGGAACGCGACGCCCGGCGCCGTCGAACGCGCGTCACAGGATCGTCGGGGACCAAGTAATCCCGCGACCCGTCCGGAACAATCGAGTAAGTAACGGCCGCTCGTTCCGCCCCCCTGCCCCCCCCCCCACCATGTTTACTTGGCGTCTTCCCGGAATCGCGCGGCGACGCAGCTTCTCGGAATTCGCGTCGTCGCGAAAATATCGGAGCGTGGGACAACAGTCGTCGCGCCGCGAATTGCAAATCCCACGGGGCGATCGGTTATTCCTGGTAGAATCGCTCGATCCTTTCGACCAGTCGACTAATTTCTTCTCGCGGATACGCGCGTATATTCGCGAGTGTGACGCGTGTGTGTGTGAACTCTCGGATTGGAGCAACGTCGCGGGGAATATCGGGGGATCGTCGTCGCCACCACTCTCGAGGGGTCGCTGCTGCGATTGCGTCGCTGCGGGTGACGATGTGAGTACACACAAAGTTCACATTCGACGCGGATAACGGGTGGCGTTTAGCGCACCTGGCGATACACCGACTAGAGATGCAGTTGCTCCCGGGGAAAGCTAGGTGTGTAATTTTCATAATTTCCAGATTTTATACACAATCGTATTTGCACACAGCTTCTCCGTCGCGAATTGAAGGGATTTTGTCAGATTGAATAATGAAGATACAAGGATAAGCGAGTTCTCATCTCTTGAAACATTAAGGCTCCTCTGACTTTAAGTAAAGCCAAATGGAGTTAAAATTGCAAGCGCGATATAGGATTCTAATCGCGGGCGATACGATCGCCAAGCGATCTTCGCTTCTACACAGTTTCCCGCGACAGAATAGTTAAATTCGATCAATATTTAATCGGCCAAAAAAATATCGGATCAGTTGTCGCACGTTACGCGAAAGATATCAAATACTTGGCGCGACGATATCGAGATTAAAGCCAACGGCAGACGATACTAATTTTTCCCTATCGGATCACTTGCGAGAATCAAGAAGGCTGCAGAGTTTCAGATCAGGTGACTAAATCCTGATTGGCTCCCGCGAGCAATCCAGTAGGAAAAATGGCATCGTGTGCCCAAGTCTCGGCGGCTTTCGAATAATACCGCCAGGCCTCGCCTAAACGAACCTGTTATCCGACAGTACGTACATTCGAACTCGCTCGGTTCTCCGTTAAGCTGGCGCCGCGCTATGCGCGATTCGTATATCCGTCAACAGTGCGGAGGAAAACTTGGTCGATTCGCTGGCCGAGCGGTTTCTGACTAATATTGAAACTTGCCTAATTGTTAGAGGTGTGACACTTTTATGTTATCTCTCGGCATATTTTGCGTTTTGCTCTTCCAGATTTTGTGTTATCCTGACGTTACTTTTTGGCATCTTTCGCGTTTGGTTTTTTTCCCCCGGATTTTCCATCATTTCGATCATGTTTTCGATAATGCCGTGGTCAGAGGTGGCCCAGGGCTTCAATAAGACGACTTGGGTCCGGTTTCACCAACGTCGCTTAACTTTAAACTTAGTTTAACACGTTCTTTGTCTCTTTCCAACTGTTACTTTAGAACGAATTAAGCTAAGCTTCAAGCTAAACAACGTTGGGGAAACCGGGTCTCAATGTTTCGATAGAACAATTTACGACATTTATTGAGGCTAAACGTATGTTAAAAAATGTAACAGAAGACGTAACATATTAAAATAGCATGGAACAAATTATCACATCTCATTTTTAGGCTATAAAAGTAGTAACATGTCTAAAGAAAGTAAACAAAACTAGTCTTAGGCACAAATCTCTTTGGTTTAGGATACAACATTGACGTTAGAAATGTTTACCAAGGAAAATTGCGATTTGCCACGTTATCTGGACGCTATTTTGCGCGTTGAGGATCATTTTGCGTTTTAAAAACGTGTTAAAACGACATCGGGGACGCGAAAACGTAAAGAAATGACATTAAAAACGTTCTTGCGTTTTGCAATATTTCGCGTACACCTCTACTAATTGTGAACTTATAAGGACCGTCTACATTGGAAGCAAGCAGTAAGAAGTAAAAAAACCCATAATCTCTACACTGATAGAAAAATAGACATTTAAATTTTAGTTATTTTTGCCACAGCCGGTCTTTCCGTGTACACTTACTACTTACGCCAGGCTCGCTTCATCCATCGTAGACGATCCTGTATACAAATCCTGCACTGACGGGTAAGAGTCAAAAGTTGCGAAAGTTAACACGAACGAAACGACAAACAGCCAAGTACGAATGATAGACCGCGAATCACGAATCGCGCGTTACGAATTGCGCTAGCTTTAGCGAGATTCTCGTCCGGCGGACGAGGCTCAGGAGCGGGCGCTCGGGTTAAATCCACCGTCGGCGGATATCAAACACTTACTGCGTGCCGTCAGTTTGATGATGACGGAATCCGTGCCGTAGCTGTTCGTAACCGTGCAGTTGTAATCCCCGAAGTACGTCGATATGGGATCCAGCAGGGTGACGGTGCTGACTACCCTCTCGGCCGCGTATTCCTCCTGCACGTAGAACGGCGTATTGTTCGACGTGAAATTGAGCTCGCGGCCGGCGAAGCTCCACACCACCGACTCCGCTTTTGGCACGGATATCGCGGTGCACTTAACCTGGGAAGCAAATCGGGGGAAAAACGCCCCGGTGGAATAAAAAAAAAAAGAGAAGAGGAGAAATTGCGGTTAAGCGCGAACCCCCCCGCCCCTCTCCCTGCCCCGTGTTTCACCCTCGTCAACCCCCGGGCGACCAGCGACGCGCTCTTCTGTCTCTTTCAAAAGTGTTTCGAGCATCGGTATAGAGAAAAAAAATGTGGGCACGGCCGGCGATCGCGAGCTCCCGTGTCGGGACACGCGTGTGTGCCGCGCACGCGGAATGCGCTCGTCGGCGAAACGCTCCGGACGAGCTCTGGCCGCCGCCGATTTATCCGAGTCCGAAACGCCGGTCGAAAATTCGACGCCGCGCCCGATGCTCCTTTTTCAACGCGGACAAAGCGATAATTTTAATGAATTTTAAACGCCGTCTCGTCACGTCGATTTTCCAGTCGTCGCGCCATTTTTCGTAACACGAGTCTCCCTCTTGTCTCTCGGCGTGAAAAAAAAAAAACAAATCAATGTATTTCTCGCGCCGAGAACGCGAAACGTTTCCTCGTTTAATTAGGTTTTTGGGCTCGTGGCACGTGGAACGTGAGGCGAGACCTTATTTTGCAAGTAACATTTAACCCCGCGCGACGACCAGACGGTTAATTGTCGCGCCAATTAAGCAGATAAGCCCGAGACACTCGTCGCGCGTCAGCGAAAACTCGCGGACGCAGGCCGCTTCCGATACGAATTTTCCCCTCGTCTCGACGTGGACGCGCGTCGACAACCCCCGTGCGTTGTCCGCCCCGCGGATTACTCCGTGTTTGCGCGTCGCGAACGAAGCTAAATTATCCAGAGTAAATTATACTGAGTGCCTCCTGATAACCGCCCGTCCCCGGCTCAAAAGATCTTGCCGGCGTTTCCCGTGCAATAATAATTCATGGTATACATGCGCGCGGGGTGCCCCGGCGCGGCGGGACGGCACTCAAGGAGATTACGCGCGGCTCGCGGCGTTTCTTCGCGCCCGATAGACACGTCGCGTCGCCTCGCGACGCTCGACTACCCCGCCGATCGCGGGCGAAAGATAACACGCGTGTTTACGCACCTTGACCACCCCCTCCTCGGGCACGTACTGGGTCCTTTGCGACACTATGCTCGGGGAGGCGCGAATGTAGATGCTGGCGTGGCCGGTTAGGTCCGGGAAGCCGGGCACCCGGGCCTTGCAGAGGTAACGGCCGGCGGTGTCGGGGCTCACAAAGACACTTATGTTCGGGCTGGTGGCCACCGTTCGCTCCGAATCCTCGTGGAACCACAGAATCTCCGGCGTCGGATTCCCGTCCACGTCGCACTGCAGGATCTCCGTCGCGCCGTAATGCGTTTCCACGGAGAGCGGCGGGTGTCGAAACTGCGGGCCGTCTGAAGGAAATTCAATTTTAACCCCGTCCCCCCGGGTCAGCTCGTGCGAGAATGAGCTCTCGCGCGGCGAGGAGAGAGAGAGAGAGAGGAAAAAACGTTACTTCCTCACCGCCGCGCGCGCGAGTCTATTCCGGGCGGGCGGCGCGCGGCTTATTTCGAGAGCGCGCGGTGCGCTCTATATTTTATATCGTTACCGCGATTGCTCCTTTAACACGCTTGTAAGGTGCCGGCTTTACGGTAAAACGAAATTCTCTCCCTGCGCGGTCTCGAGCGGCGCGCGCGCTCTACTTTACACCTACGCGCGATTGTATTTTTGCCGCTGCGCGTTGGAACGGTATCATTTTTGCCCCCCACGCGAAATGAACATCGAAACCCTTACGTGAAATTTAACGAAATCTAATTCAATTTTTCGTCGAAGCGAAAATCCGAAATCCCGCGCGGCGACGGTCTCTGAAAATAATTCACTCCCCGCTGCTTGCTTGACGCTACAAGTATCGAGCGGTCATTTCCAACTGGTCTTACGTTTATGGATTAATATTTTATTTCTTGTATACACTGACAAAAAATTTTTTTACTAAAGTAAATATTTATTCTATTTAAATATAAATATCAACTTTCCAGTAGATCTGTATATTATATTAAGGAAATTTAAATCATTACATTTTCTACATTCAACTAAAGATTTCATGAGATAGAGAATACTATTTATTAAATGAAATCATTGTTTTTGTCAAATAAGAAATTCACTTTTCTTCGCTGTAAAGCTCATATCTTAGTAAGCATTTTATAGAATTAAAGTAAGATTTAAAAAATTTCAAGTTATCTACTGTTTGATATTGAAGAGAAATGTATGTTTTATTTGTTTATTACTTTTTAAATTTAAGTTAATAAGCTACTAGGAGCCATCTAATGAATAATTTTCTTGAGTAAAGTAATATTTTTTGGATTAAGATATTCTTTTTGTCAGTGTAGTATTGTCTGAAATTTTATGATTTTTCATCGATCAGACGATTGATCAAACCTTAGACCGATAAGGTAGTGGCACCAAATATCGCCTACCCTAACTACTTTTTATCCCTGTGGCTACAAAAATGGTCGAAAAAAGTTTTGATAGAGCTTAAAATGACGAACAGACGTCACTTGATTTGTCACCAACTGGAAAATGTTGCAAGCGTTTACTAACTTAGTTTTTTCGCAAATTGCGTAACGAAATGGAAAGTGCCATTTTTTGAAACGCGTTCCTAATATGGTCTAATTAAATTAATTGTTAATAATAATTGTTAATATTGTATTTTGACGTTTAATTCCATCATTCGATTCTCTGATTCATACTCTAACTCTTAGATTTGGAAGAAAAACAAGCAATAATGCAACCACACTATTTCTCGTAAGCCCCTGTCATTAGATCAGCCGACGTTCATTTTATAAAAGTGTCATCGTTACAACTATATTAAAAATACCGGCGTTGTTCATAAAATAAGCTAATTATTCTATTGTACACACAATTCTGCCCACAGTTAACGGATATCAATGTTAGTCTCGCTAAAACGGCGTTGGGCGATATTGGGTACATAGGCGATATTTGGTACCACTCGAGGGGGAAACCGCATTGTGGCGTACAGATTTCCGGCATTATTGAGCATTACTAGACATTTTTTCAGCATTAGTTTGGGCATTAGGCCTTGCTGGAGTATTATAAAGATAAAATAAGATAAAATAAGATAATAAGATAGAGTAATGCCCACCGGGCATTAGTGGGCATTCGTGTACAAGATTTTGGTCAGCGGTTTCTCCCTCGGTGCCACTACTCTGGGAAAAAAAAGACACCAATCCATTTCAGGGCCCATACTTAACCATCGAAAACACTATTTAATCGGTTTATCCGATGGAAATTTTTCTCAGTGTAGGATTCTGCAATTTTATGACCTCTCGTCAATCGGACGATCGATCGAATGATTGGTGAAAAGTCATCTCGCAAAGTCCCGTCTTTTATACAAGGAACGGGGTATTGAACTAAAAAGTAGAAACGATCAGGGATGATCGGTACTTGTAGCGTTAATACGGGAAATTGAGTTTCTCGCTCACATCTTATATCCAGCGTCTGGCTCTCCTCGCTCTTGCCGACCTCGTTCGAGACCTCGCACTTGACGGTCGCGTCGTGCAGCTCGCGGGTGGCGTTGTGAATAATCATCTCCGTGGTGTAGTCCCCGATCACCTTTTTCTTGTTGATGAACCACCTGGAAGAGAGGCGCGAAATAAACGTCATTTAAAGAGGACGGTCTGAAGCGGCGCGCGTCTCCTCCCCGCATAATAATTCCGACCCATCCATCGACGGGCGCGATAAGCCGACGCCGCGGATCGAGAACTCACGGATTATCAGGCATTTTTCAACAACTCGCGCTTTCCCCCCGCCTCCCCCCACCCCCACTCCCCCCCCCCGCAGTTCCGCGACTTTCTCGCGTCCGCCGCGTCTCCTGCCGTGGATCAATACGACTTTTTAATAACGCGATGCATCTAAACGATTATTCCTGTGACCCGACGCCAGGGCCGTTTGTCTTTCTGCCAACCGATTCGCGTTGTGTTTCGCACTGTACACGTGGGGTGGCTCTGAATTAATATGCGAGTGGTAGAACAGGAAATGTATACGCGTGCGTTCGCAATTGGATCGGATCTTCTTTCAATTTTAACCGGATACCTTTCTCGCCTTCGAACGTGTTTCCTAAGTTGAAGTTAATTGAAAATCAAATGGCAGCGATAGGTCTCAGCGTTGATTTGTGTCTTTTAAATTTAACTCCGCTCTCGCCCGCTCTCAATCGAAGGTGATTAATTTGTCATCGACGTCCGTCGATGTCGACAGGGGGTGGGAGAAAAGTCGATTTAAAATTGATCAAGGGGAACACTTGTAAACTCGGCGCGGAGACGTTTTGTACACGTGCTTTATGACGTTTCCTCGCCGCGAAGTGCTCCGCCACTCGACTTTTGCCAACCGAGGCGTCCTCACGGAGGATCCGAGCGATTTATCTCGAGCATCGTTTGGCCGCACAATCGAGGAAAAGAGCCTCGGCGTCGTCGTTTCGAATGGTAATAAACGGGAGAGGGCAGGCTGCGCTTTTCACAGCACGACGAAACGGCCTTCGCGTACAATCAGCGAAAAGGAGGCGAGCGCGAGAGGGCGAGAGCGAGAGTGAGAGAGGAAGCCGAATCGAACTGGAACGACGACTTACCGAGCTCGTGTGTCTCTGGCCAAGAGAGACCGTAGCGCGTCATCCTCCCCCACCCTCCGCCACCCTCCTCTCTCTCTCTCTCTCTTTCTCTCGCCCCCTCGCGCGCGCCCTTCGCCCCTCGCATCGCAATCGATTTTATCGGAGCCGTAGAGCCGTCCGACAGACAATTTACCTCGCAAAGATGCCGGCGAAAGCGCCGTGCCACGTACATTCGCGCGAATACCGTGCCATAACGACTCGATAAACATCCAAGTGTCTGTAGGTCATCCCGTATCTTCCGTTAAAGTTCAACTCTTCCGCGCACGCATCTATATAGTGCGGGAGGGGGAGGGGGAGACGCGATCTAACTTTGGCAAGATATTTCACTCGCAGCGAGATTGAAAGAAGTTTTATGAATCCGGCGATACCTTCCTGTTTCGAGTTGTAATACGTTATATGTATTTTGTCACCGGAGGGGGTTGTTTCTCTCGCGCCTCCAGCGAGCGGGGCCGCCTTCGGTTTTCAGCGCGGCTCGCGCACCGATCTTGAGGGGATGCTGAAGCGATCCTGCACTTCTGGCATCCCCCCCGCTCCTAGAACTGTCGATTCGTGAAAACATTTGTGTAATACACGAATTATGTGGCTTTTGTGTGCAAACCGACAGTGTCCCACTATTCAGATTAAGTGAAAGAACACCATGGTATCATTGAAATTAAGTTTAGGAGCTTAACAAGAAGTTATAGATTACGTAACCTATAACTTATTCGAGCGAATAGATTTTTGTTAGGCTTCTAAACTTAATTTCAATGATACCATGCTGTTCTCTGATTTAGTCCGAACAGGTGTTGGTCTGCAACTTTGCTTTAAGTAAGCTGTGAGCCTTAAACCGTAAGAAATTAATCAATCACAGGTGAGAGTGAGGGGAACAAATGCCTGTGATTGGCTAATTTCTTACGGCTTAAGGCTTGCAGCTTACTTAAAGTAAGGTTGTAGACCAACACTAGTGGAACACTGTCGGTTCGTACACTAAAACCACATAATTTGTATATTACACAAATGTTTTCACGAATTAACAGTTCTAGGAGCGAGAGGTGCGAAAAGTGCAGAATCGCTCCAGCATCCCCTTAAGATTTTATTCTCCAACGCGCCGAACGCTCTCCCACTCGTAAATGCAACGATTTGCATAAAGAGCGGGGAAAATTTAGTCTCACGGCGAGATGAGAATAGATGGATATTTTCAGTATCCGTTCCATTGTCTGCGAGCCGAGAATTTATCAAAGCGATTTTGATCGCGGAAATAACGCAAAATTAATTAGTATCCGAAATTAATTAGCCCTACGGAGCCTCAACTTATCTCGCATCTGACTTCCTACGTTTCCTTGAATATTGCACAACCCTTTCTCGCCGTATCGCTGCAACGAGATAATGCAAAAAACTGACGCGATAGCGGACTGGGTTACTCGTTGTTATCTCGTTGTTGAACGCCGCGCGAGAGCATCGAAAATCACCCCGTCGTCGGTCTCTCCGTCTCTTCCTCAGTTTTCACTTGTATCCCGGACCTTTTTTACGGCGGATGGCGCGACGACGACCATTGTCGAGGCTATAAAAAGCTGCGGAAGCTATAAAAGCTGTTAAAGCGACTGGTAACTAACGTTCGTTATCGTCGATACAATGTGGTTCTCCGGCTGCTCTTTACTCGCTTCTCCGTCTATCCCGGCCAAGTCCCATAAGCGGATCAAGTTTCTTTTTTTCCACGGAGCTTTAACACACACATCATCACCTACGCCTGGAGAAAGTCTGTCGCGACTCCGAAAAAAAAGGGGAAGGGGGAGAAAAAGCGAAAACGATTTCAAGCTTTTGTATCCGTGTAAAAGCTTTCCGTTCGGTTTACGTACGGGGAAAAGAGCCGCAATTTAAATCCCGGTCCTCGCAAAAAAAATTACCGCGAATCGAGAGCCTTTTGTTTCTGCCGTTTGATTATATAAAGTTAATTCTCGCAAAACTCGCGTGCGCGCGCGCGCGAGCTAGCGGTGAAATTACAGCGTTGTGTAAGAACACGCGGGGCGATCCGCACGTTGCGCGATCCGATACCACACGGCCGAAGTCCCCCCTCGACTGAAAAAGGAACTGACCGGTTTTGCAAATTGCGGTAATGTTTTTTTCAGGCGCGCGGCCCGCGCCTCCTCCGGGGCGGGCGATATTTTCGACGAGGCCGATTTAATTCGAGCGACCATCCCCGATAATCTCGTAAATTAATACAGCGCGTCATACGGGGCGGTTCTTTTTTTTCCCCCGTCCCCCTCCCCCCCCCTGCAGCCAACGGCGCGGCGGGATGTTGCGTAACGAATAATTTAAAAGCAATCAAAGCGGGCCCGCTAGGCGAAACCCGCAAACGCGCCCCACGTTAACACGTGCGCGCGCAACGCCGTCCTGAATTTGACATTGTCCTCTTTGTGGAGGACGGATATCGATCATCCGCCTTCGCTTTGTCGCTCGCGCAGCCAATGTACGAGCGGCGCGACTCACGTTTTGCTTACGCGCCCTCGCGTGCTCTCGGCTGCGCCGACGGCGTCGCTCACCTGTAGCGACACGATATCGTGCCGGGAACTATCGATATTTCGGAAACTTTAAGTAGTTTAAGGCTCACAAGGGAACCACCGATCGCTTCGACGACGACGAGGGGGAAGCTACTTAACGCGAGTCGGATCGCCCGCGCGCGTCATATTTTATTCGCGCGATGCAAAAAGGGAAGTTTCGGTTCTAGACCGACGCCGCTCCCCGGCAAATATTTTCCCGGCAAACACCCGAAAGTTCGGAAAAATACTTCCGTCGAGAATCAAAACGGCACATCCGGTGTCCCGCGATCGATCACGACGATTTTCGACGTGGCGGTACGTGGCGTTATTTTACGACTTACGGTATTGGCCTTCCTGTCCTATTATCAATATTTCACTTGTTGTAGGTATGTTAATTATAGGTACACAGAGGGCAACTATTAAGTAACCATTTTGAAACTCGCGTTCAGCTATATTGACTTTATTGAACAACCCGGGCGACCCGATTTGTAGCAAAGTTCGGATTACCGCAAATCCGTAGAGAGGAGTCTTACTCGATTTTCAATTAATAATAATTAATTTGGCAATTTTATCAGCTCTTCTGCACGGCGGAATACGGTTTTTATGATCTCGCAAGCTGTCATAATTCCGTTAATTATTTCGCCACGACTCGGGGGGGGGGGGTGGGAGAGTATTTAAATCTTCCCTGTTGTAATATTAATGAAAGTATCCGCCGACATATCTCTCTTTCGCGTTTTCGCTCACCTGTATTCCACGTCTGGCGGGTTGGCCTCGGCACAGCATTTGAACCTAAGCTCGGAGCCTTCGACGATGCGATCGATCTTGGAGAGGGACACCTTCGGTGCGTAACGTACCTGAAAGCAAAACGCGTGAATCGCCTCTCTCTCTCTTTTTTCCCCGCTTTTCTGAGCGCGCCCCATCACGGCGGAAATCGAACCGGCGGGCCCCGTTCGATATTATCGTCGCAACTCTCTCGCCCCGAGAGGCGTTGCGCTGCGTGCGTAGCCCGGAATAATAATGATGCATATCCATTACGGCGCGTTAGAAATTTTCAGAGCGTTCGTTACATATTTCACGCGGGAACTAGGGAGATACAGCCCGTAGTATATCACTCAAACTCGATACACTCTTCCAGAATTGAATGAAATTTTGTCCGTTCAATTTTGCGGGCTCGTCCGAGGCCTTTCGCGCAATTAACGTTATTTAAAAACCCTAATTCTGTCGGTGGCCGCCGCGTGGTTTGAAAATCAGTACCGATTTGCGTCGCACCGCGTGCTCCCCGCATCCGTCGCGCTTCCTTTTATCGGTGGATTCTTTCGACCAAGTTGCCTCGCATCGGCAACGTTGAGGCACACCGTTTGAAAACGAGCACTCGCTCCATTTTTAATTTAAGAGTGGAGTTGAGCATTAAAATCGTTACTTGTAATAAAAGCTTTATTTCGCAACGAACTTTGGACTTGCACGAGCAGAATTTCAATACCGAAAGGTGCATTATAGAAATATTTAACATCGGTATTAAAAATCAATATTGCACATTAAAAGATTTACTCGGTTAAATAAACAAGCAAAATTTTATTAAACCACGTTACATAAACTGCAAAGGGATTATGGATTAATAACAGGTTTTTAGGAGGAATTGATTTTGAATCGCGAGGAGAAAAAAAATTGCCATAAAATATAATAAAGGCAGTTTACTACCTCTCCACACACATCGCGAATTGATTCGCTCTGCCGACACGTGCGTGAACGATAAAGAAAGAGCACGGGGAAAGTCGAGGAAATACGAGTCCGCTCGCCAACTCTCGCTTGCGTAAGAATTGCTTCCAATTAGGGCGATATTAACGTCGAACTTATATTAGGAGTCGTGAAAAGCGCGGGTAATATATCCGGCGCAGTGTAAAAGAGTTAAGTAATAACTCGTGAGAATTCACCCCGCCGGTCGCGCGCGCGCGCGCGGGCGCGGGGCGCGGAGCGCGTTCGCAATATCGCGGCCGTCGCCGTCGCTGTCGCCGTCGCAAATTCGAATGTTCTGCCCGGGCAAAAATCTCCGCGCGTTCGCTTCGTTGCCCTTTTCCATGAAACTATTTGTTCCCTTTGCCACTTCGGATAATGGAGTCTACGTCTCTGAAGAAAAGAGGGCGGAAGTAGTGCCCCGGAGAACGCGCCAAAGTACTCGCGCGCTCGCAGCACGAAAGTTGCGCCGGCGGATGGCGATTACCGCGCGCTAACCGCTTCTCAAGACACGACGTTAATTATTATACGTCGCCTCGTTACCCTCGTTACCCTCCCCCGTCCCCGCCCCCGCCCCCGCGCCCCGTCCCCCCGGCCTCGCTTTCGCGCGACTCGCGTTAATTTCTTCCTCCGGTCAGCGAGTAAAAAGAGCGCGCGCAAAAGGCCAGTGATTTTATTTCCCTTTAAGCGAGATTTCTATCTTCCCTCCCCGCCCGGCCCCTCCGCTTCCCATTTTCTTTTATTTTCCTCTGATTTCTCGCTGCCTCGCTGACACGGTTCAGAGACTTATTTCAGGATATTACCCTATATATTTCCCGCACGTAACGCTCGTTGAGAATCGCGCGCGCATAGGCCCAAATTACTCCAGCGTTACGTACCTCGACGCGAAGTTTGGCGCTCTGCGGCGAACGATCCGCCATATTTTGACTTTGGCACGTGAAAGTCGTGTTGTCGTGATCCTTCCGCGGCATCACTCTCAGGACGGACTTTACAGTGGTCAGCGGACCGTTATCGTACGCCTCCTTCGTGGTTTTGATGCCACGGTGTAGCACGTTGCCCAGTCCATCGATCCACGTGATCTGCAAGAAACGTTACAGTTAAAAATAGCGTCGCTCGAGAAAACACCCGCGTCAGGGAATTGACCCGTGACCGGAATTCTTATGCTTTTATTACCATAATGTTGCCCGTGGGACCTAAAAACTTGCGGTCTTTTTTTCCTCTAAAAGGCTGCAGCTCTTTTGGGGAAACGTTTCCAACAAAAGTGCAAGCCCGCTTCGACGTTGTATCGAAGTTAATCCATCGCTATATATATATATCTTAAATAACTATTGGAGATAACGTACTACACTTCCCTTCGCATGTTCCGAGCAAAGTGGGCGCAAAATTTCCAAAGTTCCAAGCGCCGCCCGCTGCCGGCGCGCGCAACTGCGTTTAAAAATTTCACGACGCTGTTTACGCGGATAAAAACCGATAGCCTCGCGGAGTTATTGGCGGGGATGCGATTCGCGGCGATCAATTAATAATGAAGTTGCGAACGAATTTCCGTGCATAATGCCGTAACATGATTGTTCCGCCGGGCCTGTTGAAACACACAATCGCGCGCGCGCGCGCGCGCGCGCAGGTGCGTGCGTGTCGCGGAAATCAAGCTTATCGGCTCTAATTAGACACCTCATGCGAGAGTTCCTGCTGTTTGTTATCGATATGAGATCTCCGGGGCAGCAAGTGCCGCAGCGTCCTTCCGCGCTCGCTGCGTTAGGGATCACTACAATAATCGTGTTCCCGCGCCTGTGTCGCCATTAGATTTGCAGCGCGCTGCCCTCCGGTATCATGATTTATGTACTCTTCGCACGATTTTTGCAATGCGATCAGCATTATCACAATTTTCACCGGCGGCCAGATTATCCGTCGGATATATTCTGCTTTTCGAGGCGTTCCGTGATTGCGTTCCGATAATTTTGCTTTTTTTCCCCTCCGGATTAATCAACAACGTGCAATCTGTCATACTCGTACCTCCCCATAAAATTCACGTGACGTATTAATATTTGCGCGATCTCGTTTCTCTGTTAAAAAAAAAAAGAACGGGAGCGTTACAGTACCTAATTAGAGAATACATTCACGGTTCAGAATGTCAGAGATCACTATTGAATCTTATTCCCCGAGAAACGTTCCGAGTTTCAATAATAAATTTCCCACGCACTAACAAGTACATTTCGCAGTAAGTACGGAGTAAGAAAATCAGCGTTTTCCACTTTGAAGTCTAGGAATGTACGATGCTGTTGTTGGTTCGCCGCGCGCAATGGCGCAATGGTTAAAAATGATGGTGTATCGGATCTAGCGCGCGATTTCATAAACATGTGTCGACATATTTTCAAACGTGAGAGAAATATCGGAAATCGACAGCTCGCGATTTACGCGAGCTCGCCTCGCCTCCGTTGCAATCAGCGCGTCGAAATATGCTTCCCGTTGACGCCTTCTCGCGAGGCAGGTTGGTTCGGTCGCTTTTCTAACTGCGGCCTCCGCAGGAAATCGATCTCGTCCGCTCTAATTAGGAGTTCTGCGGTCCCGCGATGCAGTGCCATTTACTATTGTGACGCGAGTGCGAATGAAATTACCGTGCGAAGTGCATCTGTCTAAAGGGGCGAAAAATCGGGACATTTTTATCCCTTTTCCTCTCCTTCTCTCTCTCTTAAAATTTCCTCGTAAAACTGTATAGCCTCGTAAAATTCGTAATATAATTAACTTTCGCGAAACGCGTTACTTTTCCAGGCGGCACCCGCGATTTCCGAAATAACCTGAAGCGTTTAAAGGCTTTGAGAGAGAAATGGGCTAGAATACTGTATATTAAAAAAAGCTGTATTAATGTAACAATATGTGAGAGCCCCGCGAAAGAAAAGTATCGTTTGTCTCGCAAAATGATATGATTACGGGAGCGTAATCCCGTTTTTATTTCAAATCTTTATTTTATATTTCAATAAATATAGCTCCGGCGAGCTAATCTCCATCGAACGCTCATCCCACTTTTCCGCTCGCTTAATCATCCGATATTCAATTTTTACGTTTTCACGGTATTAAAGCGCGCATTTCGCATTTTCTGGTCGAGAATGGCAGAGGTACACGCGCGCAGCTGGTTTGCCCTCCGGGCTGGAGATTTCGAGGCGCGCGCGTCCAGCTTTATTACGAAGCATATTGAGAATCGTATCAGGATATCCCGTAGCGGTTTTCTCTGGTAAGATGAATAGATTCACAACTAATAATTTCCCGTGGGCATCCACGCGCCCTCCCCGCACCCCGTCATCCCCGCGCGGACCATTCGCACGATGGACAATGGTTCTGAAAGTGGAGTTACGGGATGTAGAATAAGCGGTGCGGCCAGGTGAAGAGAAGGCGCGCTGGTAGTAGTGGCGATAGTAGAGAGTAGTGGTAGAGGGAGAGAATGAGAAAGAGAGCGAGAGAGAGAGAGAGAGAGCGAGAGAAACACAAAAAGAGAGAGACAGAGGTGTTGAAGAAAAGCAGGGAGGCAGGAACGCGGGAATTGCGCGAGTAAATGCCCTATTCCGTTGTTGGAGCTGTTTAATTACTAGTTATCAGTTGAAAGGCAAACGGAGGGACGCGCGAGAGAGGGTGCGCGCGCGCGCGCGCGACAGCGGATCGAGGAAAGAAGAGAGAGGCGAAATCGGATTATGGCGAGAGCTGCGAAGCATTCGACTGTGGTGACTCTGAATTTCTAGCGGAATTGCACCGTTTCTCCCCTTCTCTCTCTCTCTCTGTCTATCGTTCGCCCGGTCGCTTTTTCTCCCCTTTTCTCTTCCGTGCGATTCACCTAATGAAGGCCGATAAGGCCGCGATAGATTCAGCAATATCGGCGGCTTAGAGCGTCGCCCGACCGAACATCTCGGAGGAAACGAGATGGCTCGTACATTAAGTCGTAAAATCGAGAGATCTGCATTTATTAAATGTTTCCTTCGATTTTATCGCGCGCAGAGATTCCCGAGATTTCCCAAGTTGAATTAATCGTCGTAATTATGGCGAGATTGTTGTTGGCTCGCAGCCCGAGGCGTCGATATTTCGTTATACGTTTGCGTAGATGCGCCTCTCGCGTAATGCATTCTAAATAAAGGGCAAATAATGCCTGGCGAAATAAAAGCAATATCACAATCCTGTCTTGAGGAAACTTGCGGTATCTCGCGAGTTTTGGCGGCAACGATAGCAACTCTTAAAACTTTGGCGTTGTCGAGGAAACGAAGGAGGCGAGATAGGAGGTGAGAGATATCACAGTGAAAGTGTGCGGAATACAATGATTTAAACAATTGCGCGGGAATAGCGGCAAGTAGACGTTACGTGTTTGGGAACAATTATTAGACGCTGTTTAATATTAATCTCAAGATTATACGCGACGAGGACAACAACTCCGCATTTGCCCGACTTGGCGGGAATTATTTCGGAAAATCCTTCTGTTTTATTCATCCCCGTAAACTTTTCGATACGCGAGGCACGGCAAACGGAATGCAAAGTCGAGAACGAGCGAATTCTAAGAGTGCAGTCTACCGAGTATTTAATTAACCCGTCTTGATACCATTTTCTTTTGGCGCGATGCATTTATATGGCCACGTCTCCGTTCACTTTCTCGAAACACATTTAATACATTCTAATTTTTCACTCCAGTCCGAATAGACGCAATATATTTTAATACGCATCGATACGATATGAATTTAATTAAATTAGAGTTTATTGGAATTGGAGACGTATACCCCGACATTCACGGATATTATCATATCTCCAATTTCAATAAAATCTAGTTCAATTTAATTCATATCATCATTTTTTAAAGCTGCGTGAAAAGAGGCAGAGATAAATCTCCAATCACGTATCCTAATATTTGTTTGTTAGGAGATGCATGATTATTTCTCTCCCCTTACGCAGCTTCCAAAAATTGCAAACATGTTTTCAGTAAGGGACCTGTGCAAATTTCGATAATGCGGCGTTTATTTAGCTCGGCGCAAGCATTCAAATATTTCTAACGACAAATAACGCAAGAGCGAATAAAAATCAAATATAAATACGCTTTGCACCGGATGTAATCGTTCGTCGTCGCCCACGGCAGCTCATAAACCGATAACGCAGATTTTCGTCAGTTCGAATCCAGTCCGCCGTCAAAAAATTTCGTATTTTTCGCGATAGACTCGCATTTAATGTGAAAAAATGTTGGCTCTTCCGACGAGTGTCTACTAGAAACGTTTGTGGACCGTAAACGCGTTCTCGAACGTCGAAACGTATCGTGTATTTCTATCGCTGACTTCCGCTCATTTCACACGACACCTTATTCATTTTACTTTTCGTACTCTGATAATGCGCGGCACGTGGTACGCGGAGGAAAAGCGGTCTAACAATGAAACCGCACGAAACTTCACGCACGATATCGCGTGATTAGCGCTCCACTCTTTCCCTCTTGCGCTAACGCTTTCACTGATCCAACAATGCATCGGAATTTTGCGAGTAGCTTTCGCTCCATTTTTCCGCCCCGTGAGCGAATAACGTTGAGTCACGTCAATGATCGATTATGAAGGTAGTCTATTGTTTAAGCCGAGCAGATCCCGGCGCAATAATAATGCAATTAACGGAAATTCACGAAGACTACTGGTGTAAAAAAAAAATACATTTTTCTCTTTCGGTTTGGTAAATGAGCAATTTCAACTGAAAGCTAAGGGTCAAATTTAAATATTAACGAATAATATAATGTAATATTCACGGTTACAAACTCTACGCGACATTGTATGGAACAGGTATTAAAAGTGTAGACATTGGCATTAACTAATCATTATTTCGCTCAAAATGTAACGATTTTAGCGTAAAAAGAAGTGGATATTTTAAAAAAAATGATTTATTATCAATGTATTATTCTTTTTGTTACACCACTTTTTTTTCGTCGTGGCTTTTTCCATTGCTGCATTTCAATACCTGTAGATGCGGCCATTAGAGAGAGCGCATCTTATGCAACTTCTCATAAAGCGATTGAAATAATAGTTGGATGAGAATTTCGCGTATAATGGGACTATTGAAATGGTTGAAATTCGGATATTGTGCACAGCCTATTTCCGCAATAATATTTGTAACGCCGGGGAATATCGATTTAATTAATGGCTACGCAAAATGTGGTTTCGCGGTAATGAATAATGCGAAAATTAAGCTCTCATAAAATATGATACTCTTCACGGATTTGCGCGATTACGATTTGACGCATCGCGAATCGCGGGTCGAATTTTTAAGGAAAAAATACGCTTTTAAGGAAAAAAAAACTCAACTCGCGCGATACACATACTGCGAACATCGCAAAAAGTTATATTAAATTATTTCTCTGGCTGGCGATGCCATTTATTTTGAACCACCAATATTCCCACCAAAATTATGGAACTTCTGGATTATACGGCTCGATATTCCGTCAGATTGCAGCCGAGCATTTTAGTCGTTCTATGATTTAATGTATTCTTTTTGTATGCCGCGGGAACACATTCAAAATGGATATTTTTTCGTGTTTAAATATTCCGCGATCATTACTCGCGCGTCGATTCCCCGATCGCGCCATTAATCGTCGGATTTGCATAATTTTAATTAAAAAGCATGCGTTTGCGAGCGATCGAGAAACAAATTTCATTAAATTCTTCGCCAGTTGCCGATTAACTACCCGCTCCCGCTAGGCTGGGCTTAACATTAGTGACAGTGACATCGTCGCGATCGTATTTATCTGAGGGTAAAATTCGTGTTAGACGGATCCGCGTTCTTGGCACATGTCGATATTTACAAAAAATGTGTCGGATATACGTTTCCGTAACTTGTAATGAATTTCTCGGTCGCGATAATAAATTATCTTTCCTGCGTTTAACATGCAAATGGCCGTAAGATTTACATAAAAAATGGATACTCGGAGTCTCTCAAGTAGACATTCTTTTATGCGTATAAGACATTTTCTCTCTTGCAAGTGGCTCGCGCTGGAGTCGCTCTTCGCATACCTTTCTGAAATTATTCAAAATAATCGCGCATGCTCTTAATTAGCACATCAACCACTCGTTAATAGCCTGTCCACGGTTTCGTTGAATAAACCGGTCGGCTCTGGATAGACCGGTAAATCTCGACGCGAGAGAGCCGAGTATAAGTGGATTTGGAGCGGCCTGTACGTATTGTCTCGTGAAAAACTTCTTAGCGTGCAATTGTAATGGAAAGTTATGCAGCCGTGATAACTTGCGAGGTTGTTAGGACCCGCATAGCCGAACTTGTGCTATGTAATGAATGAAAATAAAGCGCGCCGTATGAAATCCGTAGGCGGTACATTAGCGTAATGGAAAACCCTTATCTCCAGAGCAGTCATTAAGTTTAAGCTCTTTTATATACGGATAAACTTCCTTTTGTCACGAATATTATGGAAACACATCTTGCAGGCTCATGAAGCTAACGAGAACTTTTTCCCGGTATTACGTGTGTCTCGCGAAGCAGTCACTTTGGACTGAGTGTAATATATCAAAGCATTTATCCCATCCTCTTTAATGATATTTTATGCTGGGATAATTGTATCATAGCATACCGTATTATGTTGTCGCGATTATTACGGTTAAAATATTTGTCTTGATGTGAAAAATGCACGGGTATTTTTCGAGCTATTATTACGCGGTATCGAGTGTAAAAATAATAACTGCTAACGACGCTAATTTATATATCAGTATACAGCTCGTACAATAGAAATGCAAAGATCCGTATATTATATTGTTCTTTCTTTTTATTCAAACCGATTCGTCCCACGAGCTGTGGTATTTTACGCGTTATTTGTATCGATTCGCGCGTTACGTGTCAAACGCGTATTTTACACGGTTTATAAGTTTTCAGGAGGGCTAGAATTGCAGGCGCGATCAGTATTAACTGACGGGTCAGATGTATAGGGACATAGGTAACCCACATAAATCTCAGGCTCGCCGAGCGTGATTCCAAGTTGTTTTTGTTGCGCGGAACCGCGCGCGTTCTGCTGAGTGGACTTCGCGGCAAGAAATGCGGGCCCGCGGCTCCGGCCTCGGTCAGATTTTCAGGGCAGATTCGCCGCTATTTACCAAGCGCCTCGCGCCTGGACTCCTCGCTTCCAGTCCGATCAATCAGTTAGAAATAATAACGCGGACCCGTGCTCCTCGCGCTATCGATTCCGCGGCAGTTAAGATCCGCCTGACGCGAAAGCCCTCGAAACGGATCTAATTTGACATCGAGCAATATTGTCCGGCCACTCGGCAATCTGTCGAGCTTCGCGCGACAAAAACAGCTTCGAATCACGCTCCACCGACGCCTGACAGAAGGTTTAACAGGGTTAATCGTGAGAAAAATAGTTCGTACTTTGTGTGTTTCTCTGCAGCACCAGAATCCACCGCGAACAAGGAGATCTGATATGTGGATATGTTCATCCCGTTTTACGACGGATCCGTGACTATAACTCAGTTTATATATATATATATATATACATAGGGCCACGTTAAGTTATATTATTACGTGCAATATCAAGTGGCTCTAAATATAATATGGCGCAAAGCATTAATTGGGTCGTTCCACAAGTAATGCAGTTTTTTTCACGAGGACATGAGAATTTTATTAAATCGTCTTCGCCACTCCAGTTTTAGATATAAAAAAAACAACGCACTTTACAGCAGCGTATGCGTCCCCCACCTATCCGCCGCAATTGCGCCACATGGCATCATTAATTCTGACCAAGTCGAAAATACCGCATTATTTATGAGATGACCGAATACGCTTTCCGCACGTTATTCATCAGAGAAATCAATATATAGACGCCGGGCTTTTCTCATTATTTTTCGTCTGGAATCGCGACGGGGATAATCTAACGTGCGCAACAAGGGTACGTTTTCGTGAGCGAAACGATAAGGAGAGATAAGCCGAAATGTAAAATCAATCGAGCATAATCTTCGAGGCAGCGTACTGCCCATTGCCAAGGGATATCCGCCAAGTTTCCAGATGCAATCGCCGGAGGTTGCTTTCACCGGGCTATTAATCCGGTCTAATCTCGGGTAATCCTATCGAAATATATATGTGTGTGTATCTATGGGTGTATCGTATATACGTTGACAAAGATGCGAGAAGATACGGAAAGAGGGTGGGTACTTGCCTCCGCCGGCGGTTTTCCGGCGCTGCTTATGCATTCGATCACCAGTTCGCGATCTTCAGTGGTGACGAGGAAGTCGCCCTGCAGGATCTTCGGCTTCTGCGGTGGCACCAGCACACTCAGCTTGGCAAATCTCGATCGTAAAGCCGGCTGTCCGTCGTTTGTCGGCGAAGCCTGACATTGATACGTGCCATCGTCCTCGAGTTCCACCGGATATATGTGCAGCGAAAAATCGCCTGGAAGCAGAAAAAAAAATTACAATCGATAAATATTGAATTCTGACAATTTGCGTAATGTGAAATATTGATGACGTATTTCCGCGTGGGCTCTCGCCGGAGTTGAAATCGCGTTCAATTGACGTAAGCGTTACTTTAGCGTGAGTGTAATTTGAATATCCGTTGTAAAAAATATAATATAAAATGGAGGAGATTGGGAAATTGTGGTGAGCGATGATATCCTTCTGGATACGTGTTTTCGTTCAAAGAAAATCTATTCTAAATTGAGTAAAGAATCTATCACTGAAATATACAACGCCAAGTGAAAATAATCTCTGTATTATATGGATAGTCTGTGAATTGTAGACAATGGAGGAGATCGAAAAAACGATATCAACTGCAGCGGAATATGTCAGTCGCTTACGGCATCGCGTCGGAACGCAGATATGGAATTTATCGTGGCGCGGTTTTATTTTAAATTCGTCGCGTATTCACGTAAACTGTCAGGAGCCAGCCAGCTTGATAACTACCATCGACGAATTAGAACGAGCTCATCGTACTGTGAGAAAGAGTCTCTCTCTCTCTCCCCCCCCCTTCCCCTTTTTATCTCTCTTTCTTTTCTCTTCCCGGTGATTTTCAACCACCGCCGATTCTCTCGTCAAATCGCGAGAATACGCATTGTTTGTCGAGGGAAAGTAGCGTCGTCGTTGAAAAGTATCGCGAGCTCGTCGATTCACGCCGAGTCGCATCACGTATCACAGTAACGTATCGTGCTCGAATAAATCCGCGTCGCTTGTACAATTTATCCCCCTTTCTGCGTGCGCCGTTCCCTTCTTTCGCGCATCGGCACTTTTTTCCCCCTCTTCTCCCCCCGTCGCCGTACCGTTGGACCGTCCTCTCGATCCTTCTCGCCGGACATGTCACGCATGCATCCCGATACCTTATAGCATCACGCGGCTCCTCGGATCCGCGAGCGGAGCAAAGTGAACACGGCGAAGGCTACATTCCGCGAATACGAGTGCGGTGGTCGAAGGGGACAGCTCATGGCCAGACGGCAGAAAAATGTAATTGTCAGTCTCCGTGCGTGCGTGCGACGCGGAATAATTTCTACAATAAATTGCACCTTCGCGATAAAGCCGGTTGACAACGGCGGCGCGTCCGACCCGGGGACGCGTTAAGGCCGGTTTCCGCTTAGACGTCAGCCCTAATTTACTGCCCTTATATATGAAATATAAAATCCCGCACAGAAAATACGAAGCAAGCAGATAAATGTATCCCGAGACGGTAATATCATTTCCTCGAAATTATTAATTAATCTCCTTTTTAAAGATTGATGGGAATAACAAGTGTTACAAGAGCCGCAGGAAGGGCACAAAACAGCGTAGGGTTTTATTGGGATTTTATTTAGACTCTATAGAGTTAGCGAAGATACTGAAAGCTCGGTAAATGAAGAAAATTAATTTTACGCCACGAAATGAACGTGCACAATATAGCACATAATAATACAGTTTTAAATAAAACTGTTATATTTTTCTTTCGCGCTGTCTCTTTCTCTCTGTCCCTCCATAACTTGGACCCAAGATAAAATTCACTATTTAATTTGTCACTCCATTTAACACCTGTGCTACAGAACGCTGTGAAGTATGAAACTCTATAAATGATTTTTTTATCTATTCTCTGTTAGAACACTATGTCCCCTGATTGTCGCGTTTCTGTTCAAAGCTACGGTGGCTTATGCCCGATGAAACGTGTATGAGCTGCTCGTAATACCGCGCGTTTCAGCCGTTAAACGTCAGGGCGTTATCGAAAATAATTTCCATGGGAAATTTTGTGTGGTGCAGTGTGGTATGACGCGAAAAGCTTCGCCGAGTCACTCGTCCGTGATGGTCGCGCGAGTAAAATTGACGAGCGCCCCTGCATTAAATGATAAAGCGTTTTTTTTTGCCATCCTTTTTACATTTTATTTTGACTGCAGTGGCATATTCATTCGCTATTTCCACCAATGTGCCAATGATCGATTTATCCTTTCGAATCGTACACCTTCATTGAACGCACAGCTTTATTATGTAAAAGTAATTTAGCCTATCGACGAGCAGCCCCAGGTAAATCAAGTTCAAAATTTTTCGAAGAAATATTTTAAGCCATTTTTCCTGAATAGCGTTGCGATATTGAATTTTACCTCAATCACCCTTTTTCAAATGCAAAGTTGTATATTGCCGACCTACCTACGCAACTCACTTTTTTTTTTCAAATTTCACGGTTTAACTTATTTTTACTGTGATACCTTCCAATTAACGTAAAGCGAATAACGGAAACCGTAACCGAGCGATAAAGTGCATTCACCTATATCCATTCGTGGAAGTTAAAAGCCAATTGAAACGTACATTTTCTTGCTAACTACAATTAACGCTTCTCTCAGGATCCCCGTTGAATAAACTTTGGAAACTTTGACATACAGCACATCGTCCGTAGACTTCTGTAATACTACGATAATTACTTTCGCTAGATATAGTCAATGTTATATATCGCGACGTCAGTTAGGACGATCATCTATAATGCCCTCATAATCAGTTGAATTTACTTCAACGAACGTAACTTAGTAATTTTCGTGCCGCGAACTTTCGGCATGCTATTGTTTGCGCAGCTGGTATCGCACGACTTTGTAAAATAACTTTCTCTTAAAAGATCTACATTTTGCAATTTTCTTTTATGTTAAGTTTACTCAGAGTTGCTTCGAAACGTTCTATAACGATAAGTATTTTATGTTTAAACTAGTGGAGTTTTGCGAGGATACTGCATCGGTTGTGCAAATGCAATATTGTTCAACGGTGTTTTTCAATCAGGCTTTCTCGACGAATCTTTACGATACTTTCTCGTTCTACGTTGTTTCAAGTTTTCTCGAAATTATTGCAAGATATTAAATAACGATAACATATAAATATAGGTGTGCTCTCGAAATAACTGAGAAACGCATCCTGAAAATGCCGGTAGAAATGTTCGTATCTCACTAATTTATACGCTCTTTTATTTCAGTTTGTACACTTATATTCACTCGTGCATATGCATAGCTCTAGTCTCTTGTTTTGCACGTTGTTCCCTTATTACTTTTTGGTAATAATATTACGCGGAAGATGGAGGGTTCCGGTGAATAGTCGAGCGGATGAACGATGGTGACAACTTCTTATTTACAAAATGTTAACGCACGTCGGTGTTACCGGGTTAGAAAGTTTTACGGAATAGATCCTCGAATACTACACCTGCGCGTCAAGGTAAAGTTTGTTGCATTAAGCATGAAAAATTATAATGCCAGAAAACTTTGACGCCAGACAGAAGTGAAGTGAGCCCTGATTATATTAAAACTCCCCGCCGAATTTTTTGAATAATGAATCGTCACGCGGGTATTCGATTAAAAAATGAAAACCCGCGAAACTTTGGCAATTATGCAATGCCGTTGCATTTGATCGCAATAAACTGATTAGCAATTATCCGGATATTAGTTTCCGGGAAATTTCTTAGCAATTTCGTGTTTTATCGCGGCGCAATTGTGTGATATAGCGCTAGAGAATTCCGGTCTTCGTGGCACAATTTGAGAACATTCTCGATGTAAGGGTCCGACGTAAAAGCCGGACAAAGGAGAAAGGATCTTTTGGTAGCAAAGGTACGAGAAGAGCCGTGAAGACTTACTCGATGCGGTGGAACAATACATCGCGAGCAATTAATTAACTCTCGCGTTGTCCGCTACGCGCTGCAAACAGCCATAATTAATTTTAATTACGCGAGTCAAGAAACGAACATTGTATCATAAACCGTTGCGATTAATTACAATTCGTTACAGTTAACAGAGAGTATAATACTACGGCGCATTTTAACCGACCGAAAATCAATATTTAACTCCTCGCGGAGCGATAGCGCGAGGTAAACAAATAAGAAAATGATGAAAAAGAGAATTGATAATTTTTTAACAGCACTTATTTGATGCATTTGCAATCGGTAAATATATATATTTACCGATGGATTAAGGTGTTTGTGCCAATAATAATATTAGATATTATAACAACATAATACAATTGCGTGACGAGCCCGGCGTCTACGACGGCGTCTACGACGGCGTCTACGACGGCGTCCGTCGTTTGACTTTACAACGCGAGATAGCGCAACGTAGGAACATTCTTCTTAAGCAGCCGGGGTCGGCTTTGCTCATTAATATCAGTTGAATTTTATAAATACGATCTCTCGGCGTCGGGAACGTAGCAAGCCCAAAGTTTGCGCAGCAGAGAATTTCACCCTTCCGGATGCATAATTTATGCGGGCACTCGACTTTCTCTGTCGCCAGACTTGAACATTTTATGCTTCAAAGAGCATAAAAATGGCGACGGTTTAAAAAATTCCCATCGTGACCCGACGTCCGCAATTTTCTATGTTTTGTCGAAGTTGAGATTGTCGTTTTAGAGAAATCGCGTACGAGACACAGGTACATATCTCGGGAAGAAGGTTATGCGGCAATATTTGTAACTTGAATACTAAAAAAGCAGTATATTGCGACTGAGGAACTTATGCTAGGAATAACAGCGGAGAACACGATGCAAACAGATTTTCCCCGAGGAACGTCGAGAAAGAAACATGTCTGGATACCAAAACGCTTTCGAGAGATTCGATGCGGCGCATCCCGCGGTAAATATGAATTTTCAGCGGTACAAAATCTGAAAGTAAATAAATACTTTTCCGATCTTGCGATCACGGCGAGCCACTCGTCCCGCGGAGCGTAAGTCGCGCGATACTCTTGTGCATCGGCAAATTAATTAATTAAATCGTCGACATCGCGTCATAATCAAGATAGCCTTAACATAAGGCCGTTAATCCTCCAACTAGAAACGTGGTGCTAGTTGTTTCGGTAAACTCTTCCCCCCACCCTCGGCTGGCTCTGTAACTAGACAAACGGTGTGATGATAACATCGCGCGCGGTTACCGGCCTTTATTGCAATACGTAGTAAATCACACACGGCCTAACTAACAGTGGATTG